AAAGACTTACATGCTGTTTTCACCCTGTTCCAGGTCAGGATTACTGATGATTAATACTACAGTCTCTGTGTTCTTAGTGTCTTAATTATTATTATGTTATATGGTGTCTTAGTCTGTTTGAAAACACCGTCATTTTGCATTTTTTAAAAATACTTTTCAGGTTGTCAACTAAATTACTCATCAGCTAATTGATTAGGTACCAGTCAGGTTAAGTGATTATAAAAACACTTGTAACCTGTAATGATGGCACAGACACAACAACACATGATTCACTACTGTCTCTACTGTCTAACTCCCAATAAATAAATATAAAAAAAACAAACTCTGTAGTGTCTTTTTTCTTGGTTTCCTTGAAATTACACCGGTCCTTGACTCCCATTGGGAGGTTCATATAACGAATTGTGACTCGCTGGTGTCTGCACTGCTATTAATCACAGGAATGCAACGGAAACACAGGAAAACAGTTTGGTGATTTACTGCTACATCTGTACGTATGTTGTTCTAAACACCTACATCTGTACAACCGTTGACACAAACAACTGCTTCACTTGATGTGGAATAAGACAGGAACTGTCTTAAAACATGCCCTCACGGCAAGACACTTTTAGTTCTCTATAGCATCAAAAGAAAAAAATCAATATGGTTGGTTCTGCAATTCATTTCAAAAAAGGTCACAGGAGTTTTCCTGTGACATAACACTGGTTTATCCTTGGCCAGCTGCTGTTGTAGGACATGTAAACAAACCAACCTTTCTTTAAGGAAATATTTTTCCTACAGAACAGGGATTGAAAGATTCCATATTAAAGAAACTTTAAACTCTCAGACTGTGGATCCAATGGGAATTCAATCGCTGGAACATTACGATCAAGTGCTTTCAGTGTACTGAGGAGAAGAAAATGATGTGCTGCTATGGCAACATAATACATCCATGGACAAACAGATGGGAGACGACACCTACGGCAACCACTGTGCAACCTAGACACTTGTATTTGCTGCACAAGAGGCTGTAAAGTGGGCTGAGAACACATAGAGGTTGGTAGGTTCAGTGTAGGCTTCATAATTATTGGCCAAATGTGGACAAAAATAACTCAAATAAGAAATACATTCTTTCGGGGAAAAAACACAACCCCGTCAAGCTAAACCACTATGTTCCAAGCTTTAGAAGACTAAATCCTCTCCTAGATTCCACTGCTGTCACTATGACACAAGGCAGGGAAATAGGAATGTCATGGGGTTGGTAAACATGAGGGGAAGGTATTTATTTTCTCAGCTTGTTTGTGATAAAGATGTGGACATTTAAGCAGTAAACCTGACCAAGCTTTAGTTCTGTCTCGTGTCCAGAGCTAACTTGTATACTGTACACAGGACACATCTCAATGTAAAGTCACTGACTGAAGATTAACTGTTCAGTCAACAAACATACTAATCCTGTGGATATTCATTTTGTTTAACTATTTATGAGGGCAGAAAAGGAGTATTTAGTCAGGAGGTGTAAAAGAATCTAAAACGATGACAGAGCCTTGGTTCACAAAGCACGGTCTGTCTGACTGTGCCACTAACAAACAGCAAATATGCCCATCAGCCACTATTATGTGCTGTTGCTTTGGAAACAAGTGCAGCAATTCAATGCTTGACAAATGTCAACCATCAAATTGCAACTTCTTTTTGGGGGGGAGGGTTATATTCCATCTAGTTTTACTGAACAATTAAAGAAAAAGTTTAAGCCTTCAATGTTTTAAATATTTTGAATTATTGATAAACATGCCCAAATTGCTGTAAGTTTACTTTATATGAAAGCAACTTATTTTGTACGTTCACCATCTTTGACTGCCTTTGTTATTAAGAACAAATGTCATGTTAAATGGTGTTTCAGAGTAAGAAAGCGACCTGACTTTGTCAGAGAGAGCCACAGAACATATGGCATGACATCACCTCCAACAAGCCTCACACCAGGTGTATAAATCTCTTTGACACAGAGTGAATTTGGTCTACATGCTGCAGAAAACTTCATTTTTAACCTTTGCTGGCCCTTCTTTGCTCAAATCCCATTCCGGCCCTGAAGTTCTAATGGACCAAGTTTGAATTCTGTGGTATGATCCTTGTGACTTTGCTCTTAAATTCCTCCTAAAATGGAGGGCTTTGTTCCACCTACAAAGGTGAGTAACTGTTGTTTTTGGAGCATTTCTTCTTTATGCTCAAACTGACCTACAGATTATGTTGTCCTTGGTTGAATTCTTCAGTGTCTATTGCTCAGTACATAAGATCCACAACTTTTTTAGGGATTTTGGGCTGCTGTAAGTGGGAAGGGTGGGTCAGATGTTTCAGGAAGAGCTCTGATCAATGTTCCCTCTCAGTTCCTAGCTTCTGAATGTTTTCTATGCTCATTGCTCCCACATACAACTGCCTGGTCTGAAAATCTCTTTATTCTCTAAGAGAGCAAATTATGCTAAAATATAAAAAGAAAATCGCAGATCATCATTACAATTTAAACAGTAGACTATAATGTGAACATAACAACGGAAATTGGAAATTTAGCTAGCTTAAAGCTTGCATGTCACCAAAATTCAATAGCAGCCTGAAAGGGGCAAAACACAACCTATAGCAGCAGAGTTATGTTTGTGAGTGGAACAAGTAGGTTGGAACAAACAGTAGCCTGGCTAAAATGTCATTTTTTAACCAAACTAGAAAACAACAAAACAGCTACACAGACCAGCTACGAGGCTATACCATCCTTGTTTTGGTCACACTATTATTAATGGCATCAAACAGTATGTAACACATGGAGGCCAGGTGTTCAGCATCTTATGTAATGGACTCCACTGGGTCAACCAAAATTGCCACCCTGGGTCCAGACATGCCTGTGTCTGGGCAGACATGGATCAAAGCAACAGCAGGAACAGCAGAATGATTATGTGCACCTGTAACAAGAAGGCTAGTGATTGTCTGGACAGATGCAGCCCGTCCCTCCACCTGAACACACTACATCAGCCCTGAAGGTACCTGTCAGCCTTTCCTGCAGTCTGATTAGTGTGTCATGGCAGCAGCGTACCATAAAGAGAGCGAACGTAAGAGAAAGACAGACCGACACAGAGCAGGAAAGGGATGATGTATTTTTCCTCAGTCGCCATCGCTCTCCCTGGATCTGTCCCTCCGTCTGTGTTGTACTCCTTCTTTCTGTCACAATAGTTCTTTTCTTTTCCTGTTTTGTCAATGCTTGTGGTTCCATTTTTGTCTTTTTGGTTTACTTTTTTTATCTTCACTTGTCTCTGCCTACTTTTTTGTGTT